ATCCCAGGACCCTGGGATCATGACCTGAGCCGAAGGCAGACGCTTCACGACTGGGCCACCCAGGCGCCCCCTTCATGAGCTTTTCTGCAAACAATCAGATGTCCTGTGAGCCACTACCCCCCTAACATCCCTGCAGAAGATGCACACGTCAGCACATGGAAATGGCATGGCACTATATGACATCTCTCAACAGTTACAGAGACATGTTGGATCTCCTGTCCAACCAAGCAGCCACTCTCACTTGTCCTTGCCTCTTTGTCTCCTGTCCTAATTATACCTGTGAGGTAGGCACTCAGATAAGCTGGGCAAACAGACATGAAACCTAGATTCAGCTAATAGCCCCTGACCATGGATAATGTTTACGTGCGTTGCCAGCTGGGTGTTTTCTTCAAACCCTACAAAGCAGACTTGATATGGGACATCAAGACCAGTCCGCTCCCGTCCGCGCCAGCGCTGCGGAATCTTGCCATGGCTAGCGCTTCTGTGGCAGTAATGCTCACAGAGGCTCACGCCGTGACGGGAAGCTACACACGCACAAAGGGTGTCTAAGTACCATGTGGGGCACACCAGGGAGATGAGTGAATTCAAATGGTCTGTGATAAGTACATTTGTACTTTGTTTTCTCCTTAAAAATAACACACACACACACAAAGACACACACACCCCCCCAGAAGATCCACTGAAAATGAGCGTGATATGGAGTAGTGCTCCTAGTAGGATGGGCTGGATAAGAAGGGTTTTGCATTTGTTTGGCTGGGTCAGTTTCATCATCAGGGGTTTGAGGTGAGGAAGTCAGCCGTGGTTTCTCTCTGAAAGAGCCCCCTTCGGAGCTCGCGGTATGGCCCGCATGGGTTTGTTTCTGTTGCCGAGCGGGTCCGACCAGATGACCCTATGGCAGAAGCTCCTGCCTTCCCAGCTGCCCGGAGTTTCTTTCTGGCTGGAGCGAATGAGTAGTGTGGAGATCAGACCTGTGGAAGGAGATCAGATGGACTCTTGTCATCTTGGTTTTGTGAAGAGATGGCACATCAGCTTTTACATTTCAAAAGTTAAACAGCTGTCAATCAATTGCTGAAGGAAGCTCAGGGGAGGAACCTGTGATTCTGTCAGATCACCAAGGGTATGGGCTATGCTTGTTTCCTTGTCTGTGAAAAGGCTGGACCAGATGACCCCTCAGGTTCCTCTGGCTCTATGGTGTAGACGTTATAAAAACTCAGGCCATCTGTGTGTATGTGCTTGCCTCTTCGAGGGAATCTACACCCTCTGTGTGGTTTCCAAAGGCTGTCATGGTAGGTTTTGGTTTGATTTTTAGCCTAAAAACGTTACCATGCTCTTCCTGTCTTAAAAGCCAAGAAGTCATGACTTAGGTCATTCATGAGGTACAGAATTCCCTTTGTATAGTTCCCACGAAGGTGGCTCCTGGGAAGCATGAAAATCTGACAGGAGGATGGAAAGGTGGGAGACATTGGAGCTAGGGTTTAGGACAGCAGGCTACAGATCAAAGCTCAGGCATTATGTCCAGCTCCGGAAGAAGTGGACACCTTTCTAACTGGAGAGACATGGTCTCCAGTTAGAAGGTACAGGCTGAATTCCTATACCAGTTGTGGGGGGTGGGAGGAGTGTCAGTAAGGAGGGGGGTTAGACGGAGGCCTGCCCAAATCTAGACAACATGTGGTTTATCAATTATCTAGCTTAAAAATCACACATGCTCTTGAGATGATTAATCTAGTATTAAGGGCTAAGAACATGCTTTGAGGTGGGGCAAAGATCCCAGGCAAGGCTGCAGGTACTCAGAAACTAATTGATAAGGATATAAATTATTCATGGAAACTCTTTAACAATGAATAAGGATCAGACTCAACACCAAAAAAACAAAAAATCCAATTAAAAAATGGGCAGTGGGGGGTGCCTGGGTGGCTCAGTTGGTGGAGCATCTAACCCTTGGTCTCAGTTCAGGTCTTGATCTCAGTGTTGTGAATTTAAGCACTGCATTGGGCTCCATAATGGGCACAGAGCCTACTTAAAAATAATAATAATAATAATAATAATAATAAATTAAAATAAATTAGACATTTTTCCAAAGAAATGGCCAGCAGACACATGAAAAGATGCTCAACATCACTAATCATGAGGGAAATGCAAATCGAACCCACAATGAGATATCACCTCACACTAGTCAAAATGGGTAGTATCAAAAAGACAAGAAACAATAAGTGTTGATGAGAATGTGGAGAAAACGGAACCCTCATGCGCTGTAGGTGGGAATATAAATTGGTGCCGCCACTCTGGAAAACACTGTGGAAAACAGAAATACCATTTGATCCAGTAATTCTATTTCTGGGTATTTACCCAAAGAAAACAAAAGCACTAATTCAAAGGGATACATGCATCCCTATGTTTATTACAGCATTATTTACAATAGCCAAGATATGGAAGCAACCCAAGTGTCCAATGATAGATGAATGGATAAAGATGTGGTATATTGTGGTGAGCACAGCATAAAGTATAGAGAAGCTGAATCATTATATTGTACACCTGAAACTAATGTAATATTGTGTGTCAACTATACTCAAATAAAAAAAAACTAAAAAAAAAAAAGATGTGACACATATATACAATGCAATATTATTCAGCCATAAAAGAATGAAATTCTGCCATTCATGACAACATGGATGGACCTAGAGGATATTATGCTAAGTGAAATAAGTCAGACAGAAAGACAAGTATCATGTGACTTCATTTATACACAGAATCTAAAAATCAAAACGAACAAACAAGCCAGAAACAGACTCATAAATTCAGAGAAAAACTGGTGGTTGACAGAGGGGAGGGGTGGGAGGGTGAGTGAAATGGGTAAAGGAGATAAAGAGATACAAACTTCCAGCTGTAAAATAAGTAAGTCATAGGGAGGAAAAGTATAGCATAGGGAATATAGTCAGTAACATTGTAACAATATTGTATGGTGACTATGGTGAGCATTTGGTAATGTATATAACTGCCAAATCACTACATTTTCACAATTTATGTTGTATACTTGAAATTAATATAATATTGTATGTCAACTACACTTCAATAAAAAAATAAAACTGCAGACAAAAAAAAAAAAAAAGACTAAGGGTCAGAAACTGATCTGAGTTGTTCCTGCTTCTGGAAAACACATGTGATGGTCACTAATTTATAAGCCCCTTTAGGACGTTACTAAGTTGACTGATCATCAATCACCTAGTTATCTATTGAAACCTTGACCCTCACTTGTTTCCATGAAACGGATTGTGACATTCCACAAACCTCATCCGGAAGGATATTTTCCAGTACTGAGTCCTTTAAGAATTCAAAGCATTCTTGATAACCAGATACACTGCTCTCTAGATAATGAAATGCCGGTGGTGGTCCTCACTCACAAGTGAGGCTGGGAAGCCACCAGCCTGTTGAACTTCCTGAAGCTGTGCTGTCACGTGTGTTTGGAGGCAAGTTGTGAATGTTTTCCAGGACTTATTGAGAGAAACAACCTTTTTCTTGTTTGTAAGAGACATTAAGGGAAATTGTTTCAAAGTGGTATAATATAAACAAGAATGTAATTACTACTTTTTCATGACATTTATTTATATACAACATTTTACAAGAGAATTTTTGCAAACCTGTGTAAAGGTAGTATGTCATTAAGTCACAGGGTTTTCATCAAAAATTTATTATAAAAATATACCAGTTTAATAAATGTGTTGCAGTAGGTTTTCTATTATAACATTTGTGTACTAAAATGTGACAAAATAGAAAAATAGTCACATCCAATAAGGGGGAAAAGTTTGGAATTAAATGCTGCAGATCACAGATCATCAGCCCCCTTACCTGGCCCAGAGATGACCCGGTTTTAGCTCTCTGAGAGAGAATATACCAGGTTGGGGTGGGGAGAACATTGGTAGTTCTAGGAAACACTTTTGCTACCCAATGAGTTATCAAAGGGATTCATAACTACAAGTGGCTTTCAAAGAATAATTTTCTACAGGTGTAAACACCAAGTATAAGATTTATAAATGAGGAAGAGTGGCTAGAAAATCTAAGCAGAACTACCATTCCCTAGATAGATGCCTATACTTAGGCATTTCTGGGTCCTCTAGGGCGATGGGGGTAAGGTTAACCTTTCAAAGCTGTCAGGTCTCTACTAGACAAGAGGAACGGGAAAAATTCATCGCAAGCATGGCTTTGGAAAGGAGTGTTTCAATCAGTGGTAAGATTTGTGGGTGTTTTGTTTTGTTTTGTTTTGTTTTTTGCAACTAAGAAACTGGTGGGAGGTTCAGCTATAAAGGAACATATTTAAAATAGTAGAGTACATTTAAAAGTTTTCAAATGTGATTATACTAAGGAGCAATTATACAAAACAAGTCTCAGCTGCCATATATAGAGAAAGATAGCTTTTGCTAAGATAACTGGAAAAGATGCTTTTAGGTTCTGCATTATCAAAGCAGTGCAGCCAGTATGTGGTGTGTGATTCATGAGCACACAGTATCCTGAATAAGGCTTCACTATTCTATTTACCACTTATGCTCACCCTTGAGGAGACAACAGAATTTTTATAAAATCTGAATTGATGTAGTAGGACAAATTAGCACTGGCCGAAAGTCTGCCTGCCTTTTTTTCAGAAGTAGATAGCTTCAGGACGCTTACTTTTTCTACATTTTGAAAAATTCTATTCACAATCATTTTATCTACTACTTTTGGCTAAAGTTCCAGTGTCTTTAAGCTTCAAAAACAGAATTTGAATTCCATTATTCCAAGCTGATTATTTTAATCTTTTCCACACTTACTAGAAGAATATATGTATCTACCCTGAGTATAAATAAAGCATGTATTATTATATATCACTGATGTAATCTAGAATCTAGGAGTAGAGTCCATCATTATAACTTTATTCTGGAACAAATCACCATATGGTATGTATAGCTATATGTGTTGAAATTGAAAACTTGTCCTTTGAATTCTTTGGTTAAGAAATTTCTAAATGTGAAATTGGGTGATTTAATAATATCAAATGCAGATGAGAGATCACTTAAAACTTCTTAGGGCGTAAGTTCAGAAGTAAGGTTATATAATTTTAAGAAGACAGCAAACAAGCCTCTAAGTGTTTAGTTCTTGATTGGATAAAAAATATGATATAAGTCAAATACTTAACAGCTTTCAAACTTACTTAAAAAATAAAATGGGGTGAAACATTGAAACTGAGAAAAAAAAAGAAACTGGTTGGAGGAATGAGAATTTTATAGGAAATGAGATTTTGCACATCTTTGCCTATTGGAGAAATGCTTTGATTTTATTCTCCAGGTAAGTTTGGACAGAATGGCTGAATTAATTTGTCCCATTAAAATCCCAGGCTTGGGGCACCTGGCTGGTTCAGTCAGTAGAGCATGTGACTCTCAATCTCAGGGTCATGAATTCAAGCCCCACATTGGGCATGGAGCCTACTTAAAAATTTTTTTAAAAAAATTTCCAGGCTTAAGCCAAGGCACTTGGATACCAGTGCCTCTTCCAGTATTTTTTCTAGTGCTCTCTCTCTCTTTCTGGGGAACTGGGATGGGGTAGACATGCTCCTTACATGGAGTACCATGCCAGGGCAGGATCCTGGAAGCACCTATCCCAAGAGTTATCATAGGCCAGGATACACACTTCCTATTGCTTCTTCCTCCACCATCTTGAGATATTTTTTAAATTAATTAATTTTTTAAATAATCCCTACACTCAGTGTAGGGCTTAAACTTACAACCCAAAGATCAAGAGTAGCATGCTCTACCAACTGAGCCAGCCAGGCGCCCCTTGATATTTTTATACAGAAAAACAAGCCCTCTTCCTAAAACAGACAATAATCTTGCTCTAACCAAATCTGTCCACCATTGAAATGGAATGCCAGTTAATTTCTTTCCTTTGAAACTCAAACACATGACCAAAAACATAAATGTCAAGTTATCTCAACAACCCAAACATTTTAATACTCTCTCCTATTTTCCCTGCTTCATATTTCTAAAACCCAAGTCTTTTCACTATAAGCAAAAACATATGGGAAAGTTCTTTTCAAAAATGCTCTCCCACACCACCCAGATAGCTTCTTGATTATAAAAGGAACCTCCACAACCACTGACTGAACAGTCCCTCAGCACAGAACTGGTGGGGAGTGGTGGAGAGTGGTGGGGATGTGGTATGGGGGTCACTCTCGTGGGAGGCATATCTGGGCCTTGGGGCCCCTCAGGCTCAGCGGACCAGTCCCGGAGCTGAGGATCTGCCTCAAACAGCGGACTACGAAAGAGGGGCAGGAGTACCTTGGCTTGTTGGCTGGCTCCAGCAGCATGAGGGTGCAAGGGGAGGTCGTGAATTTCAGTCTGCTGTTTAGCAAAATTCACAAATACCTGGAGACAAGAGTAGGAGAGCAAGAGCAGGTAGATGTTTCCAGAAAAATGGTTTCCTCGACCCATCCACCCACCCACTTTTGGTCTCTCTCCCACAGCTAATGCACAGCCCCCCTAGAGCAGCTGCGTCCTGCAGGACGGGAGGGTGGCCCACCCACAAGCCCAGCCACCCATGCCCAGGGTGGCTGGGGGAAGTGGTTCATGGGGAATTCTTGTCTAATGGATATACAGTTTCAGTTTGGGAAGATGAAAAATTTCTGGCAATGGATGGTGGTGATCCATTTCACAATAATGTGACTGTACTTAATGCCACTGAATTGTACACTTAAGAATGGCTAATTATGTTATATATACTTTGCCATAATAATTTAAAAAAGTGATCACATTAAAAACTCTGATTCATGGCATGCAGGCTTATCAAAAATCCCCAAATCGAACACTTTGAGTGGGTGCATTTGATTGCATGTAAATTAAGCATCAATTAACATTGATTTGAAAAGGAAAAAAAAAGCCACCACCATCAACCAGGAAAGGTGAAATAAAGTCATAGTGCAGTGGGGAAGGATGACGTGGTCAAGGAAATTTGCTGATGACTAAAATATCGTTAGAAGACAATTTTGGGTCTACCCAGCTTTACCCTAATGGACAGAGGAACCAGAGCATTAAAAATCAGGCGTGTGGTGCCCCCTCTCACGTGCCTTCCGGCCCAGTCTGCACACAGCCCCCCTCCACACGTGTGCCTGTCGGGCAACCTGCCTGGTCCAGCGTGGTCTGCGTGACGGAGTACTCCTCGATGAGCAGGCTGTCCTTGTGGGAGAGGAGCAGCCGGAAGATGCTGGCCAGGGAGGAGGAGGAGACCTGGAACTGCAGCATGTTGTAATGTCTCTCCCTCTGCACGCTGCCCGGGAAGTTCCCCTGGAAGAACTGCTCCACCAGATTCAGGTTGGGAAGCAAGTCTTCCTTCGGGGATTTGATTTTCATTGTGACGATGTAGCCATCTCCAAACCTAGGCGACACACAGGGTGGCACGGCATGGGCCTGTTAGTAGCCGGGCCTGAGGCAATTCCGAAATAAGGAAGAGATTCGCCAAAAATATTGAGGATGAAAGGCCCATACGATAGACCCTGTGTGCATGTTTAAAACTAGTAGGAAAAAATCCGTGACAGCTCCTGGAAAAAATAGTTTGATACTAGTTTGTAGAGGTCCAAACGTCTGTGTGGTGAAATGAGTCACCAGACCTGTGTCACAGCTTCCTGGGTCCAACTCCTGGAGGCATGGATGCTCCCCACTCCTTTCCCTCCCATTTACCTGCTGAAGTCAAAGGTGGTTTTAGCCCCTTGTGGAGATCACAACCCGCCCACGAAGGCCTCTGGAACTAGTGTTTACTCAGTAATGGAAAGGCTGCGTCCTCCTTCAAAGAGATCGCCAGGAGGGCACTAAGACTTGGGGAGGCAGCACTTCCCCGTGGAAACTTCCAGAACAAATGGGAGCTACTAGGGTCGGGACCATCAGTGTTTCCCTCTTCCCCTCACCAGGTGACCCACAGGTGGATACAGAATGGTCCACCAGGGAGTATGTGCATGGCCAGCTGGCTCCCTTATATGCTTATGTCAGGATATACTGTGTCAGTTAGAATTTATTTCAAGGCTCCCTCCATGACCAACAAACAAGGGTTGCTCCCCTCTACAATAAAACACCTTTCCTTTCAGCTCTGGAAAACTGACTGCCCCTCCACATGGCAGACATTCCCCTCTCACCTGCTCTACCATGAGGATACTGATGAGAGGGAAAGCAGTAGGGAGTCCACACACGTCTCCTGCAGTTGGACCCAGGAAGCTATGACACGGCTCTGGTGACCTCATGTGCTGAGCTGACGTCCCCCCTAGGTATTTGTCCGGCATCCAAGCTGTAGTTGCTCAAGAAATCACAGGTCAAATAACCCAAATGCTGCTAATCTACTAGACCTTCCTCTCAGTCACTTATCTGCCCTGATGCATATGAAGGATGATGTGTCTTGGGCAACAGTCCCACGGGTACAACAAGACTAAGCATTTCAGCCTAGATAAGGTTATGTACTGTTCCTTCTACCAACTAGCACAGTGACTTTATATTCTGGGCTCGTAAAAAGTGTTTGTTAAATAAATGAGTAATAACTACAAATCTACCCTTCCTAGTTTATAAAGCATATCAGAATGCAAGGAAGCATGGCATTATTATAATAATCTTATTTTAACTGATCAATTTTGGCTTTGGCACACAAAATATTACTAATAATGCATTATTGACAGCAGTTTACAATTTATGGGGACTGGGTAATCCTACTGAAGATTACTTAGCATTGTTGGTTTGTCATATACTACATGGTCACTTCTCAAACTCAAAAGCATAAACACGTCTGAAAAGAAAATTGATCCTCAGGCTGTTTGATCTCCTAACCATCCCTATGTTGGTCATTGACTCTTATTAGGTCATTGGTGCTGGATCTGTTGGGATAAGTGGGGGGGATAATGAGACAGTGGTAGTGACCCTCCCTCATTCCCACCAGGCTCTGCATATGCCCTAATCAGAACCCCATCTGGAGACTCAGGGAACCCTCAACCACAGGCAATTAGCCCAATATAGAGAAGTTTCTTTCAGCACAGCAGCTATCTCTGTCTGCCGCTGGGGAGCAAGGCCCAGGCCACATGCCTCTGCCCATGGGGTAAGGGCAACAGGACCCTCCCAAGTGTCAGTAGAGAGCACGGGGCCTAGTTGACCCCCCACCACCACCAAGGAAGGTAACAAAGTCAACCCCCCAGCCCATCCTTACTTATACTTGAGGTGCTGAATGGTGCCCAGACACTGTAAGGTGCCCTTTACCATGATGGCCAGTCGGGTACACAGAGCCTCACATTCTTCCATGCTGTGGGGTAGGAGAGAGGAAGTAAGAAGGAGGGAGGCCTCCTGTCTGCCCACCTCTTCCACCCCAGCCCCTGGGAATCTCTTGCCTGTGGGATGTGAGGACCACAGCTCTCCCTTCCCTGATGATGCTCACAATGGTGTTCCACAACATGCGGCGTGCCTGGGGGTCCATGCCTGTGGTGGGCTCATCCTGTGGGGAGGCAGAGAGGGCAGGGAACTGGGCTTGGAGCCAGCCTTTCCTGGTTACTGCACCCTCCTTGGCTGCCTCCCTCTGAGCAGCTCTGCTCTCTGGCAGACAATATACAAAGTGCTCCCCCCTCCCCAAAGTGAGCAAGACTTGAGGAATCCAGGCTTCGGGTAGGGAAGGCAGGGGGTCAACCAGGACAGTAAAGAGACATTATGCATCTCCACTGACCCATTTCAGCCCATCAATGGGTTAAGGTTGATTAAGGCAATGGCAGAATTATCTTGAAAATTAAAAAAAACCAACAAACTTACACATAATTTGCAAGGAGGCAGACAGATAGCCCAGGTGACTTGTATGAGTCACCGCCCAGCCCTGTGACCCCTGCCCTCATAAACCCCCGACTGCATGGGCACAAGGGCCTTGGGTCTGGTGCAGCTCCAGGGAGAATCTCATGAGCCTCTGATCCAGGCCAGTGTTCTGCCCACTTTGCAGCCTGAGCAGACTTCTTCCACCAGTAATTTCTGACCAGAGGGGCCGAACTTCCCTTCTATGAGCCTGTGGGCCCATAAGAGACTTCCCAGGGGCTCAGAGTGAGAATATGTTGTGACTCCAGTTTCCCCCAAGAGTTGTGAACCAAACACTGGGTTGATTTGCTCAAAGCAAACAGTACAGGAAACAGTTTAGACGAAAACAGATGGCTGCATTTTCTAAAGCTGCTGGCCCAACCACAGAGGTGCAGCTCTTGGTTCAAGCCCTCGGGCCCCTCTGTCCCCACATGTCCCGGTAACCCTCACCAGCAGCACCAGAGGTGGGCAGCCCATCAGAGCGATGGCTGTAGAGAGTTTCCGCTTGTTGCCTCCACTGTAGGTGCCGACCAGGCAGTCTGCATAGAGAGACAGGCCCAGGCTCTGAATACTCCAGTTTGCCACCTAGGGAAGAGGAAGAAAACCCACTGTGAAAAGACAAACAAGCTAACCTCCACCAATTCGAAGTCTTAGGCTCCCAGATCTCACACCATCAGGATGACAGGTACAGCTAGGCTGACACAAGGCCACCTACTGGCTCGGGGGTGGTTCATGGGCTTCAGGGCCCAGACATCCCCTTTCCATACCGTGCCTTACATTGCCGTGTGGCTTGGTGCAGCCCCTGGAGAAATGAGCCTCAGCCTTACGAAGGGCAAGGCAGTGCTTCTCACCCAGGGCCCCAGACTACGGGTAAGAGGAGAAGAGTCCCAGGGTCTGATGGTGGGTGTCAGACCCGTTGCTTCCACCCTTCAACAGGGTCACACTTGAAGTCTGGTGCATCTAACGTATACGTATCGAGCCACTGCTATGAGTCAGGCACTGTACTAGGCACTGGAGAATAATGGTGAACATAGCCATTGCTGTCGTACTCACAGAGGGAGGGGGGGAGGACACACAATCGAACTAAACAGAATAATGACAGATTGTAAAAGTGCTTTGAGGAAAATCAACGGAAATTATGACAAAGAATACTGTGTGTGTGTGTGTGTGTGTGTGTGAATGTGCGCAGGAAGAAAACTAGAGAAGTGAGACAAGCCTACCATGTTTCTACCTTCTGTACTTATTGTACCTCTGCTTGGAATGTTCTTCCCCTAGATATCCCCATGGATATCCTCACTTTGTCAGCTCTTTTAGGTCTTCACTCAGGGGTCACTTCCTCTGTGATGTTGGCCCTGTGCCACCCTACCTAAAAATTCTTCCCTATTTTTCCCCTACCGACTTCTCACTTTCAAAAGTATATTTTACTTACTTATCTATTTATTATCTGTCCTTCCCACTAGAATGTAAGCTTCACTTTTAACTTCTTATTTTTAACTTCTTATTTGGAATAGTTTCCAACTTACAGAAATGTTTAAAAATAAGAATAATACAAAAACATTCATCAACACTTGACTCTCTTTTTCTCTCTCCCTCTCTTATGTTGTGCGTGTGCACAAGCACAAACATATGCACACACATAGGATTTTTTCAGAGCCATTTAAGGTATGTATCGTGGCCCTTTACTCCTAAATACTTTAGTGTCTACTTCCTAAGAAGAGGAATACTCTTACATAACCACAGTACAGTTTTCAGTGTTGGTAAATTTAACATTATTCTGATACTTTCATCTGATCTACCTTTCATAGTCCAGTTTTGCCAACTGGCCCAATGATGTCCTTCATGGCATTATTTTCTATCCAGTACAGGATGCAGTCTGGTGTCCATTACTCAGTCACCGTTGTCTACTTAGCTCCTGTGATCAGGAACATTTCCATAGCCTTTCTTTGTCTTTTGTGACTTTGATACTTTTGAAGAGTACAGCCCTGGTATTTTTTTTTTAATAGAATGTTCATTTGGAGTTTGTCTGATGTTTTCTCATGATAAGATTCAGGTTACACGTTCTCAATCAGAATATTATGTATTGTTGTGTCCTTCTCAGGGTATCACCTTTAGGGGCAGGACATGTCCAGGTGCCCCTCATATAGGATGTTAATTCTGATCACCCAATTAAGGTGTTGTCTCATTTCTTCATTGTGAAATTATGATGCTTCCCCCTCATAACCAACAAGCAATCTGTGGCAGATACTTCTAAGCTATATAAATATCTTGCTTCTTATAAAAAAATTTCCCCTAGATTTAGCAACCATGGATGATTCTTGTGCAATCCAATCTTTACTATGATCACTACAAAATGATTTTCCAATTCTAGAATTCTTCCACCCTAATCAGTCGGCTCTCAGCATTTGAGTGTAGGCAAGAGCCATCCCTTTTCTCTTATTTATCTATTTAACAGTATGGAGTTATGAATTCCTCTGTTGCTCCCCATGTTTTATAATTGATCAGGGTATTTATTATTTTGATGTTCAAACTGTACCCCGTTTGGCTATGGGGAGCCCCTTCAAGATGGCTCCTGTGTAGCTCTGACATGCCCCCCTCCTTTTTTTAAGCACTTTACTTTCTGGCGTAAAAAGATGTTTCAGGCTCGTTTTATACCTATACTGTCCCAGCCCTGGAATTTGTCATTGCAATAGTGTTATAATAGCATTGTATGGTGACAGATGGCAGCTACACTTCTGGTGGGCATAGCACAATGCATGGAGTTGTCAAATCACTATTATACACCTGAAACTAATGTAACATTGTATGTCAACTATACTTCAATAGAAAATAGTGGGGGAGAAAAGTAGAATTCTGCATGTGCTCTTTTGCCCTTTGCTTTTTTTACTTAACAATATCTTTAGGAAATAACTCCGTATCAGTTCACAGAGATTTTCTGTGTGTGTGTGTGTGTGTGTGTGCATAAGACTTTATTATGTGTATGTACCATAAACGATTCGACCAATCTCCTATGCCTGAATATTTAGGTAATTCCCAATGTTTTGTGACTCTAATGAATGAATAACCTGTGCATATAGATTTTGCCCTGGGGGAGGTGTATCTCTGGGGTAAATTCCCAGAAGTGGGATTGCTGAATCAAAGGGTAAATGCATACATTGTTTTGTTAGATAGGAAGCCAGGGATTTTCTTGTTTTGTTTACTGCAATCCCCCCAAATATAACCGTATTTGGCATATAGTAGACACTCAGAAAGCATTTGTTGAATGGACAGCATGTTCCAACTTTCCCATCTCTAAATAAATTAACTCTCATGAAATAGGCTTAGGGTTCACCAAACTCCTGAGTGGCTACAAGAAACCATTTTTTACCCTTTCAATTTCATCTGCCGGTACACCTCGAAGCCGGGCATAAAGGTAAAGATGTTCTCGCCCTGTGAGCAGGTCATCAATTGCATCAAACTGAGGACAGTAACCCATATTTTGATGGACATCAGATATATTGGTTAAAATACTGCAAGAAGAAAAAGCAATTAGCAAGTTTTCTTCAAAGGCGGGGAGTGACAACAGAGCTGGGGCTGGAGAGCTTCTGCCAATGGGATAAGCAAGATACCTCTTCTCTTCTGCTTTACTTCAGAAATGTGCACAACATTTATGAATCAAAGCAGGGGCCCTTTGGTTAGAAACTGATGAACTTCTGGAAATTTGAGATTTGAATCCAATAGATCTTTCCAAGTTTCTCTGTCTAGGATAAACTGAATATCTGTTACACAAAGTCAGCTTTAGTTTTGGAGTGGATCACCTCATATGTGGGTTTAAAAACAAAGGGAAGATCAGACTTTAGAAAATGACCAGTGAGGGGCACCTGGGTGGCTCATTCCATTAAGCGTTCGACTTGTGATTTTGGCTCAGGTCATAATCTCATGGGTCTTGAGATCAAGCCCTGCATTGGGTTCCTTGCTCAGTGGGGAGTCTGCTTGAGGTTCTCTCTTTCTCTCCCTTGCCCTCTGCCCCTCTCCCCATTCAGTACACACACACCCTCTCTCTAAAATAAATAAATCTTTAAAAGAAAAAAAAAAAAAAGAAAATGACCAGGGATTTCTGATCCCTTTCAGACATTTGGGACATAATCAGAGAAGATGCATGCTCCCTAAAGGAAGTAAACTTCTCCATCTGGGCTTACTGGCAGAGATACAGTAAATGAAAAGGAAACTAGTCAGATCCCTATCCAGAGCAAGAGACTGGCAGGGAACAGAGAGGAAGTGAATTGAGTTCTATCAACTCTCTTTGACTGATAATTCTCCCCCACTAGAAAATACATTGCCTTGATGAAAAAATAAACTGTCTAATCTGGTCTAATCTCTCCCTGCTCTTCCTGCTTCCCCTGTAGCTTAGGATCTATGAATAAAAGATGGATGCAACAGGATGGAGATAGAGAGGCGCCATGCAGCCCCCCAGTGTAATAAAAAGTACTTCAAGTGCAGCTGGGCCAATTAAAACCACCCAGGGAGGCAAGGAGAGTACTTTGCCAAGTTCATGGGAGCTGCCCTACCAGAGGAACCCAATCCTGCATCTTAAACCTACAGTTGTTGTCCAGTTTCCACTTCATCTAGCTCCCATCTTCTAGGTATCAGGCTGTGTCTTACTTGGACTGTCATCTGATGTCTTATGGTAAATGCCATTAAATCCTCCTGCCCGCTATCCCTTGGTCCCCCAAGACTCCTTTTGTTACCACTGTCAAGTTACTTGCTTGGTTGCAGGCTAAGCTGGATCTGCAGATGAGACAGACTCAGCCACGGTCTGGCTTCACCCCTGCTTGTTCCTTTGCTCTAGACCCAATAGGGATGGCTGGGGAAGGCTGGGGAACCAAATTCATCCTGGCTGAGCCATGTCCAGTGGGCCTTCAGCCATGAGGCTGAGGATGGCTCCCAGGTGAGGGAAGGAGGCCCGGGTCAGGCAGATGCTGAGCAGAAGTCAGCACTGCGTAACTCCACTTATAAACCAGGGCAGAGGGTTCCTCCAGGCACATCTGATGCCTATGAGCTCTGCTGCTCAGGGAGCAGCCTGGAAAGTGGCAAACAGCGTAGGTTTGTGTTCCTGATCCTGCGCCACAGAGGACCAGTCTGTTTCCTCACACCTTGTTACAGAGTGCAGCAGGCACCCTTCAGAATCCAAGGACACATGCCAATTTTCCCTTCATAAAGGCTCCTTGGCCTGGCAAAGCCAAGCATCAGCACAGAATAGCCAAGTCAGACTAAAGCCCATGAAGGCTCTTAAACCAGCCCACATCTAGAAACTCGATCCAGAGAAAGGGTGCTTCCCCACAGCGGTTCTTAACCTGGGACCAGGGATCCTGCAGGATCATAAATGTGCTTCAGGCCTCAGTAAATTTCCTTAAACTCTTTGCAAAAATGTACGGAGGGAAATAATGGGGGATAATGGTGTGTGTGTGTGTTTTTAAAGACTTTTTTTTTTTTTAAGGAATCTCTATACCCAATGTGGGGCTTGAACCCACAACCCCAAGATCAAGAGTCACATGCTCTACCAAATGAGCCAGCCAGGTACCCCAATAATGGTCTATTTTTATAGGAAGAAAGTACAAGTGTTCATCAGATATTTAAAGGAGTCTATAACCCCCAAAAGACTAAGAACCACTGACAAGGTGCTTCCTAGAAGTTTCCAAGAATCCATGCTTACAGGGGCATGTCTTAACAATCACAATTCAATTCAATTTCCCAGAGAGTCTGTGTCTTGTACTTTTTAGACCATGCTTTCTGGGAGGCCTACTCTTCTGCACAGATCTTCCATGCTCTTAGGATCATCCTCAGTACAGGGTCTGAGGCTCACTCTCCCTATGCTGGGATGGGAACATGGCCCAGGACCTGTGAGAGACACCCTGAGACAGGAGGAGCAGGACACTCACCTCTTGCCTGCTACCATGGCGTCGCCTGAGGTCACTGTGGTGTCCCCAGTAAGCATCTTGAATGTGGTTGTTTTGCCAGCTCCATTCACGCCCAGAAGACCAAAGCACTGAGGGAGAACACACAGACTGGCCTCATCCTAGAACCCTCACCCTAGAACCCACCCTAACACAGCCCAAGGAGTGGGGACTGTGAGGCCCTAGGGCAACTGTGTGGGTAGGTGGGAGACACTTTCGACCTGGGCTGCCATGACGGAGGCCACGAGCCATGTGTGCTACAGGCTAGCAGAATTTGCTACCTCGAGATAAGGATGATTTTGAGCTGAAGGCAATTAAGAAGCAGCAGATACAAGAAAAGCTCTCTGGGGGCACCTGGGTGGCTCAGTTGGTTAAGCATCTGCCTTGGGCTCAGGTCATGATCCCAGGGGCCTGGGACTGAGCCCCGCATTGGGCTCCCTGAGCAGCAGGGACTCTGCTTCTCCCTCTCCTGCTCCCCCTGTTTGTGCTCTGTCAAATAAATAAATAAAATCTTAAAAAAAAAAAAAAGAAATAAAAGTTCTCTACCCTCCCGTTTGCCTAAAAGCAGGACATAAATTTACAGGGTGTCCTCTCTTGCTCTTAGCCTGGAGACAGCACCAGAGGAATCTATAACAAACATTACTAACTAACATTTATCTACAATCAGTTTCCCCCATATTTGCCTTTTCTTTTCTTTTTTCATATTTGCCTTTTCTATAATTTGCCACCCCTACTGACTCAAGGTCCTTTTCCTTTGTCCTGTCACTTCTCTAAAAATGTATCATTCCTTTACCGAGACGCTATATAAGCCTAAGTTCTAACCACCTCTCATGTCATTTATTTCTGATCATTCCCTAATAAATGTCTGTCTGTTTTTCTCTTCTTAATCTGTCTTTCATCAGTCCAATTTACAGAGCTCTATGCAGAGAACCCAGGAGGGTAGAGGAAAGAGGATTTTCCTCCCTTACAGTGACTGCTAAGCACTTGAAATGCATCTGGTCTGAACTGACATATGTTATACGTGTAAAACATACCCTGGATTTTGAAAACTTGAAACAATAACAAAAAAAGAATGTAAAATATTGCATCAATAATGTTTTATATAAATTATGTGTTGACATGACAGTATTTCAGATATATTAGGTAAAATAAATCATCAAAATTAATTTCACCTTTTTTTTTTTTTTTTACTTTTTTCATGTGGCTGCTAGAAAATTTAAAATGACCTCTGTGGCTGCATTTGATTTCTCTGTGATAGCCCTGCTGTAGGTGGGGAGAAGCAGCATGCACAGGAGTCTGCAGGGCACCCACCTCTCCAGGGCGGACTCCGAAACACAGCCTGTCCACTGCTGGGCTGGAGGTGCCCGAATAAATCTGCAAGATGCAGAGAAACTGGACTGAGAACCAAGAGAGGGTTAGAGCGGGATGGGAAGAGAGAGCAAAGAGCAAAGGATGGGTTAGGTGAGAACTATCGACGCGAGGAGGTTACATATTGGCACAGGGGTTCAGAAGGGTGTTGTGAACCCCAGGAAACCTCGAAGCTGACCCACTGTGCAGAGATGGAAGGGAGAAGCGTGAGGGAGGCTCAATGTAGGGGTTCACACTGAGGCCCTGTGCCAGTGCCCAAGATGAATACTGGGGAGAATGCACTGGAATTAGGTGTTCTTGGAAGGCAAGTTATAACACAGCAATGACAACCTCACATAAAAGTAGGAAAATGAATTGCTTGTGTAGGCAGATTGCAAGGCAAATTACAATGGTGTGCCATCTGTGGATCCAACCGGCACCTCCAAACTAACTCGTCTACACCTAGTTGCTTACCTTGGTTAGTTCATTTAGCCTTAAGATATCAGTTTTATTTCTCCCATTAATAATTCTTTGTCTTTCTTCAGCCACATCATCATCTTCATCTATGATAGGCTCCTTAGCAGGCTCAGCAATCCTAGAGGAAGGAAAGGGAGAGGACTGGGTTGGTGTGCAGTATCTGGTGTCTAGTCCTGGCCTTCCCATGTGTGACCTTGGGTCTGTCACTGAACCTCTCTAAACCTCACCTCCTTCAACCATATGGTGGGGAGGGGAAAAGAATGTCTGCCTCATAGGACTGTGGAGAAGACGAACTTGGCACAGCATGTGGCACAGTCAGAACTCAAAACCTGGCAGCTGATATCATTACTACAACACTTCATCTATGGTAAGCACTCAGTAAATGTCACCTATCTCCCACTTATCTCTTGAACTAACTCCTCTCCCAACCATTTGATCAAACCTTGGTCCCCAGCCCCTGCTGGTCTTCCCTGACTCACTCCCAGCCTCTACAGGCATTTCCAGGGCCTCAGCGTTCTCTTCCTCCTGTCCTGCCAAACAGAAGCCTCCCCATCCTTAAAGACACAGCACCTCTGAAACCCTCCCTGACCACCTTGGCCTACAATCTCACTGGCCACATCTAATTCATCTCAAAATCTTGTCTTGTCTACCATTTATCCAATCAACCTATTTTTCTCCATCTCCCAATGCCCCCACTTCTATCCAAGCCACCACTGACTCTTGCTTGGGTGCCAAAACAGCCTCCTGTCTGGTCTCTCTGCTTTTAAGCCTGGCAGATCATTCACCTGACTGATTAAAACACCCCAACAGCTCCCTGCTGCCTTCAGGCTTAAACTTGAAGTCCTCACCAAGGTGAGGGGCATTTCAGGACTTGGCTCTGCCTACCTCTCCAGGCTCCTCTTTTACCCCTCTCACCTTCCCCCTTCTGTGAACTCCCCACAGGTTAGCTTGTCCTCTACCAAAAGCACCCTTTCTTCTGCCCTTCCCTTCTTCTCTTTGCCTGGTTGCCTCTCAGCATGTGCATGGCTGTGGGCTTCCTGAAGCCAAAAGTCCTGGAATGCTTCTCTGGTGCTATTTCAGGCAAGACTTGCTCAGTTGTTTGACACCAGAGTTTGAAGCTACCGAGTCTGTTTTGGTAAACAAGTCTGCCTTCTCCCTTCTACTCCAAGGTCTCTTCAAGATGTGGCCAAAGCTGTAGAAGGGGGCCTTTGAGGGCCAAGGGTCCCATGGACATCAATTCCCCACACTGTCCCCCATAACTAGCACCACTTCCTGGTCATGTCATTTTATTCTAAGTGTGTTGGCACCCATTATCTTGTTCAATCCTCACAGCCCTGTGAGTAGGGAGGTCAATTTGTTTCTAGTAACTCGATTCCCTATGGATTAAAACCTAAACCAAGTCCTCTGTATCTTTATTGACATGTAGCCTGACTCAGCCTGAGAGGATGAAAGGATAAGAAACAAAACACTGTCCAGGAAAGCATGTTCCAAGGGCCCAGTGATTTGCAGTTCAGGGCCCTGGGCTGAGACCTAGTGAAGGTCAGCCTGGATAGCGGAGGGATAGCCTTCTGGAAACCTGAGTGCCCATGTCAGAAGGAGGCAAGTCCTGGGTCAAGAAGTCAGGGAAGAATGGCACAGCTGGGCTGGGTCATGGTAGGCAGTCACTGCCCACCCCCCCCACCCAAAGGGGCACAATCCCTGTCCCTCTCCCTTCATACTGCTCCTGGCTTCAGTCGCCTTGGATATCACCCCATATACTCCCTATCCCCACTCTCATATCTCCAATTAGCAAAGGGGCCCACTTTGTCTATTTTCTTGTGAATGCCTAAATCTATTTCCCAGTACTTTGGATCTCCCTTAACTATTATCATTTGTAAGGCTATCATCCAACTTAAAATGAGTATCTGTTAATGAGGTGAGAGGGATTAAATATTAGCAACTGAAATTAAATACTGTATTTTAAATGCTTTAAAGTTTAGATTCGTTACAAATTCCAACGTGCCTATTTTAATGTCTCTCCCCTTGTGTTATTCAGAACAAGCCAGGCTTTAAGGGTATAAAAAGCCATCATGGAGTGGGGCTGGTGAGGAAACAGAGGACTACATGTAGTCACATCCATGATGTGAAGCCAAGTCCCTGGACAGATGCAAGGAGCTGCCCTTGGAACCCTTAAGGCAGTGGCCTGAACGTACCATCGGGTGAGGAAGAAGTGGTGCTGGATGAGGAGAGTCAGGAGGAAGTACACCACCCCTTCTGCGGCCATGGCAACCAGGTTCTTCCCAATCAGGTCCCACTGGAACGGATTTGCAGAGTGCTCCTCACCTGCGGACAGGAATGAAGTCCACTCAGCTGCCCCAGCTGCCCCCAGAGACCTAGTCATAACGTCTGGCCCAGCTAGATGAGGCCTTACTCGAAGGAGTAAGCGGAAGCTGAACCCAGGCCTCATCTCGGTTGCTTGAGTCAGAGTAGGGAAGAGTCAGAGCCTGCTCTGACCCCTCCTGTGGCTCCTCAGCCACAGAGACAGAGGCAACTGATCCCTTCTGGGCAGAAGGACACTCCCATACCAACCAAGTGTCGCCCGGCTCCAGCCCAGGCTGCAGGTCAGGCATAGGAGCTCCCAAGGCAGCCTGCCCCCGCCCAGATGGTCTGGGGCCATGTTCCACGGGTCTCAAAGGCCACCCACCGAACCGAGCGTAGACATCTGTCACAGCCTGGCTCAGCGCCAGGTCAATGAGGCCCCGGCCCAGGCAGAAGTGGGGAAAGATAATGAGCAGCTTCCTCAGCATGGCGTTGAATCTGAGCAGCGGCTGAAACATAGAAAAGCAGGACAGTCAATTGTGGGGACTGAACCCACCTACCCCTCCTAAGCGGGGTGGGGCCTGGGTGCCCTCGTAGGGCAGGCCCAGGGGAAGGCCTGCAGACAGCGGGGGCCTAGCAACCAGGCTGGCCGCAGGAGGGATCTGTCACACAGATAGGAAGGTGCTGGAATATTCACAGGAGGCGCCACCAGCCAGGCAGCCTGCCCGGGTTGCTGTCACGGCAGGCTCACTCGGGAATTACACACGAGCCCCCCAAGGCATTTGTTCCTGGGAGATGCAGCAGCTGCTGGCGGTGCGGCCCAGGCTCTCTCCTTTGGTACAGCTGTGAGCCGTGACTGGCTGTGAGGCTCTTTCCTCTGCTCTTAGCCCAGCTCGTGCCACAGGGGAGAGGGGCCCCGTGTGTCTTCCAGCTCTGCTTCTCAGCTCCCAGAGGACAGCTAGGTGTGTGTGGGTGCTGCCAGTAGAAAAGAGGGCCGGGAACTCTCTGGTGTGTGTGTTGAGTTGGGGGGACTTGTTTTCAGAGGGTCAGACTGTGCTTGCTACTTTTGCCCAGCAGTGTTGGGCGGAGAGAGTCTCCCCCAAGATGGCAGAGGGGACACTTAGGGGCGAGGCTGACCAGGCCTCTGCTGCCCACTAATCTGGCCCCTCCCTACCACACAACTGGCTTCTTCCTGGCCTCCACACCTTTGCTCACATGACCTCCTCTCTCTCGCTCCCCTCCCCATGGCCCGCCTCTCCCCTCCTCCCAGCACAGTGCTCTTGTGCCTCTAGGCCTTTGCGCCCCCAGCTTCTATTAACCATTGCTCTTAGGAAAGAATGCTCTCTCCCCTTCTGTTCTCTAGAAGATTCCAGGCCTTCTTTAGAAAGCTAGCTGGAGGGGTGTCTGGGTGGCGAAGTCCATTAAACATCCAACCCTTGGTTTTGGCTCAGGTTACGACGTCAGGATCATGAGATCGAGCCCCACTTTAGGCTCTATGCTCAGCGAGGAGTCTGCTTGAGATTCTCCCCACCTCTCCCAAATAAATACATAAATAAATAAAATTAAAAAAAAAAAAAGCTAGCTTGAGAAAATCCCTTCTCTCAAAAGCCTTTTCAGATTTCCATGTAGAATACCTACTTCTCTCTTCTAGTACTTACAACATTTTCAGCCAGGGTTAATTACTTCTTACTTGCCTGCTGGCCCCACTAGTCAGTGGTCCCTGGAGGATAAGGACTGGGTCCTAATTATTTTGGTGTCCTTTCTAAATACCTTCTTCAATGATTAGCTCATAGTAGGCACCTCATTATTTATTAAATGGGCTAATAAAATCCTACTTATTCCAGGCCAGGCTTAATTGAATTTCCTTTACCCAGATTCTCCTGAGCCCTGTAGCCCAGCAGTCCAGCTCTTTCGGCCCATTCGGATCTGCAGTGTTTTATCTGTCTCCTTCCCTTGCTGTTCTATCACACACTGTCTTGTGGAAGGTCAGGTACTGTGGTTCATTTCGGTTCCTAGCTTGGTGCACAGATCATTTCTTGACTGGAAAGGGAGTTCCTGCAGGGTAGGACAAGCAGGTCACACATGTTTACATCAGCACATCCGTCACATGGTGCTCACCCTGTTGATACCTCTTGACTCGGTAGGAAAAGCAGCTACTGGGGCCTGGGAGCCTCCTGAGGGATACTGGGAATCTCTGTAGCATCTGCTTCTCTCAGGACTTGCATGAAAGCAAACAGCATTTCCGCATGGGAAGGGGGTTTGCCCCGAAATGTCGGCTAAACGAATATAGCCCTCAGGAGGGAGTGTTCTGAGTTGCTTTGCGCTTCCTCTTTAATTTTTCTGAAGTAACGCAATCTCTTAAGATGTAGTGGGCTGTGAGCACATGACAAACAGCTCTGAAGAGGAGCATTTTCAGTCTGCCAGGAAGCTCTGCCATCAGCAGAGTCCGTGTTTTTTCTCATCCATCTCTCTTCTGGGGTCTGACTGCGACATGGTACATTTTTTACCAGTCATGGGACAAATGGGGTTTTGTGGCAGGAAGTCTCACAAGGCCTGGGGAAGCATCCGTCAGGAGGCCATGGGACTGGGGGCGAGTGCACATTTGCCTTAGATCCTCTCAGCAGGGCCCCGAGGTGGGAGTGGGGACAGGGGCCACAGGACAGCAGCACTGATGTGCTGGCGGGTGCCCACCCTCTGAACTCGAACACCTAGTGAGGGAGGAACAGGCTGGAGAGGCCACTGGGGACACGGGCGCTTGGCGAGCCTGCCAGTGCTTGAGGGCGCTCTGGGCCGCCACAGCCAGGCGCAGACATAGCCGGCTGTGAGTGGGAGTGGGACACACAGACAGCCCTGAAGCCATTGCCAGTGGCTCAGGGCTTAGCCTGGCAAGCTCCTTCTGGGCAAGGAGATGTCTGGGCAGCGGGACAGGACGACTGCACTCCATAGCTCAGAAAAGTGAGTCATTCAGCACCATACACTTCTAACCCTATCCTCAGAATTAAGTTTCATGTAGAATAGTAAATGTTACTCCGTTACAATATGGGTAAGAAAGTGGGAGAAAGAAAATGTATGCGTTTGCTTATTTGTTGCCAGAACACCTAAGGAACTGAAATGAAAGGTTGCCTCTGGAGAAACAAAGCAGGTGACTGGAAGACAGGGGTAAGAAGGAGACTTCCTTGTATGCCTTTTGCTGCTTTGAAATCACATCAATGCACTCACACATGTATGTGTGAATGTGTGTGTGTGTGTGTGTAGAAAAACCTAACACCCAAAGTCACCAAGGAAACTCTGATGGAGTAAGAAAATCTAAAAGCTTAGGATCACAAAAAGTCGTTTATAGCTTGCAGAACAGGCTCAGAAAACCATGACACTCAGAGCACACAAATAAACTTAGAGTTAGATGAGCTTAAAGAAAACAATGAAGGAAGGGAGGAGGGAGGGAGGAAGGCATGAGGGAGGGAGGGAAGGACAGCAGGAAGGAAGGAAGGGAGGAAAGGAGGAAAGATGGAGTGTAGGAAGGGAGGAAGGAAGGAAGGAAGGGAGGAGGGAAAGTGAAGGGAAGGAGGCAGGTAGGCAGGCACAGAAGGAGGGAGAGAGGAAGGAAAGGAGGAAACTACGTTCACATATGCATTAAGATTGTCCAGCCACAGTACTTGCCCCTGGCTCTGCTTGACCATCAAATACTCTCTCTAGTATTTTAGTAATCAAACAAGGAAGCCACAAAAGTTATGCTCACCTGGTTATTCTCAAATAATTCCAAGATGAAGGTGATGGCACTGCTGTTGATGCCGATGAACAGATTAGCACAAGCCAAGGCCACATAGGCTGTGCTGGGGACATCAAATAGGAAGGATGCTGGGTACATCATGGGAATGACTGCCCATCTGTGTGGAAACGACACAAGGCAGTGGGACAGAGTTGCAGTCTTTGTACCACTAGATATAATGCATTCCCCGCACACGAGGTGATGTGTCTGCACTGGCGAGAGTCCAAGGAAGACCAGAAAGCTGCTCCGTCCCTTGGTCTTTGTTCCTCGTCTTTGAAGGGAGATAATGATGCCTTCCCTGACCACCTCACAGGGTTTTGTGAGGAGCAAGTGAGATGGTGGCTGTGAATGTGCCTTTTACAAGGCAGAGGGGCCAGCTCTACCCTGCAGTGCTTCCCACTCTAGTCTGGATCAGCAAAGCCCAGCTGAGATCCCAGGAGGCTCATCTTTACAGTTGACTTGAGTTGGTATGTCGTGGTTATGCTGGCTCCTGAATTCTCTATTTGCAAGAGAGATGCTCTGTCAGGGTTCACTGGCCCTCACAGGAAGGACCAGGTGTCATTATCTGCATTTTACAGATGAGGAAATTGAGGCCCAGATGGGGTAATAACTTGTCCACAGGTACATACCCAGTGAGGGGTAGGTCTGGATGTAAAGTTGCATGCCTTGCTCTAGAATTCTACAGGATTTAATCCCTGTGTCATCCTCTGACCCTGGCTCAGGGGCAGCCTTTCAGCTGCAGTCTTCCGTGTGCAAATAACTCTTGGCCCGTCCAGCTGGAGACACCGAGATGGACAGGTTGGCTACAGATGAATCAGAATCAGAGCCGGGTGAGGGACAGGAGAGTGACGCCCTGGTCAGGCCCCAGTTTGAGTAGAAGAAGATTCATTTGAGCCTCAGGAACTGCTCTGTGTGTGGAGTCCGAAACAGATTCCTGGTTGGTAGCTGCACACCCTGCTGGGGGCTGGAAGCTAACCTGGCTGTCAGAAACCCCGGTTTTCTGTCAGAAGAGCACGCGCCTCCCGTGGCTTCCCTTTTGGTGGCATTAGCTAATGGCCCAAACAACTCACCCATACAGCATGAGCAGTGCAGCAAGGGCAGGAAGATTTTCTGGAGAAGTGTAGGCTTTCTTCTGAAACCCGATGAAGATTCCCACCACTAGCGCTGCGCTCACAGCATAATTCATCTTGAAGAGAGAAGAGGAGAATGAGGCACTTAACTTCTCAGGACCTCTATCTCCTGCTCTGTGAAACGAGGGCTGGGTCAGGCTCCTCCAGCACCTACAATGGCCTGGGGTTCTGCTTCTATTTGTCTAAACAGTTCTTGGTCAGCAAACATACTTTAAGTTGTCCCTAGTCCTCCTACCACTCCCCACTCCCACCTCCCAGTGCAGGGAAGCTTCAGCCTCTATCTCTTGAGAGAATGAATTATAAAAATCCACCTGATCTTTCATTTTCTCTAATTGGTCACGAAGTCCTACTGAGTCTACTTTCTAAGCATGTCTCCTGAATTCAGAAAAACTCAAAATATTTAATCCTTGGCCTCATGAAGTTCAAATAGATGATACCCTTTTATCACTTTATCCCTTTCCTCTCTTCCTACACAATTCAGTCCTAAAGCCATTAGGATGGATAGGGAGAGGTGGGCAGCCACAGTGGGGGTTCAGGAGGTGTCACAGTAGTCCTGGCAGGATGAGAACCCGAGAAGGGTGAGGAGGACATCCCACAGAGGGTGGGCTGGTATGGGGTGTAGGAGGGTGTCCTTATAGGGGGTCAATCTGGTTGGGGCTATCAGAGGAGCAGAATGAGGAGGACCTCCAAATGTGGGGCAGCTGGAGCAGGGAGAGAAGGGTGCCACACAAGGGCAAGAATGGTGGCCACAATGGGAAACTCATTACGTACAGGCGTACTGCTCTGGTGGGTACATGAGTCAGGGGTAATAGAAGCCAGTTTCTCACTCTTGGAGAAGAGTCGCAAATATGGAAAGATAGAGAGCCTGGAAGTTTGGTAACAAATAGGATATTTACATAGCTTCAAAGTACCTCTCCTCCAATTCTTATTCATTATAAAGGGCCAAAGAGTAACTTTACAGTGGAGGAGCTCAGCAGACACCACCTAAATCAAGTGACCAAAGTGACCATTATCAGTAATAGAACAAACTGAAATCAGAAGCTACCTGGTCAGATGCAGCAGAGTAAACTTTCATGATACCATTGCTGTAACCTGGATCCGATCATGAGAAAACATTGGGCAAACTCAAATTGAAGGACATTCTGCAAAATAACTGGCCTGTGATCTTCACAAGTGTCAAGGTTGTGCATGTCGAGAAAAGACTAGGAACCATTCCAGGCTAAAGGAGACTGGAGAGAACAACTAAATGCAATGACTCTGAGCTAGATCCTTTTCTATAAAAGACATGATTGGGGAAATGGATGAAATTTGAGTGGGGTCTGAGGAAAAGATGGAGGTGACGCATAGTGCTAGTGTCCTGGTGTTGACAGTTATGCTGTGATTGTATGGGGTGTGTCCTCACTCATAGGAGGTAGACACTGGAGGTGCTGGTGTGTGTGTGTGTGTGTGTGTGTGTGTGCACGAAGGGCATCTTGTTGGGAAGTTACCCTCCAATGGCCCAGAAAAAAAGTTTCGAACTATATTTATAACAATTTTGTGACTGTTTCAAAATTTAAAAGAAAACCAGATGACATATAAAAAATAAGAACTTAAAACATCCTATCTGTGCTGAGTGGATGATATAAACAGTAAGTGTTTGTTCACATTTAACAATGACCCTCGGGCATATATGTTATCTTTTTGCTGCTGGCTAATGAGGGTGCTAAGCAACAACGTTATAGATCCTAGAGTTTGGATTCGGAGACTCCGAAGGCTGCTAGTGTCCTATTCACACCGTCTTCTAACTCTTCGCTGGTCTGCCAAGTGTCTACTTTGCTAGTATCACCTCCAATCCAGACACTGACTCTAGCCTTCTATCCACATATTTCTCCTTAGGCTCAGAGATCTCTGTAGCTAGGCACATGCATGTGTCAGCCCAAAGTGTAAATTCTATAATCCTTGTCTTTTAAAAAAAAAGTAGAATGCAAAACCCAGCACTTTAATAGCTTTTCAGTGCAGGTGAGCCTCACCCCTTTCATGCTTAAAAGGCAGGGCAGTATGGGTAGCTACAGATGATGTTTTTGTCCAAAGTGTGGTGTGATGGTTCTGACTCCTCCCCATGTGTTTGTAAGTGTTTTCTCAGGTAGATAGGATAGAGACGAAAGAATTTAGTTGCTACTGATGATTTCTGGTTTTGTATTGTTCAGTGATGACTGCGTTTAGGGAGCTAAGATAAAAGAAACCATGTCCTTATAAACCCTAATATTTGTCATCATTATTCAAAACCACTGTGAAAAAGGTTATTTGTGTTGGTCTCCATCATGATATATCCTACCATAACATGCAATGGAGACTCATGTTAGTCTCAGAATGTTGGGATAAAACAAAGGATCTTATTAGCCACAGTGTCCAGAAAACCCTGGAGTTGGTGTCATAATGATCACTGCTACATTACAATTAGGGCTTTGCTGCCAATTTATTTTGACCCTGCGGCCTGTCATAAAGTAACCCACCCTGACTCTTTTCTGCCCCCCCAACAATCCTGGTTGTGAGAGAGGTGGCAATCTGCTGTTGACTTGATAAATAATTTTTTCTTTCTATTCCTTAAAGTGGTGGCTAATCTGATTTAGTGGAGGTCTGGTTACTTTGGGAAAGCAAAGTAAGGCCACTGGGTAGGGTTGCCACATTTTGCCAATAAAAATATAGGATGCTCATTTAAATTTGAATTTCAGATAAACAACCAATACATTTTTTTAGTATAAATATGTCTCATGCAATACTTAGCGGGTGGGATATACTTATACCAAAATCATTAATTGTTTTATCTGAAATTTAGATTTAACTGATGTCCTATATTTATTTGGTAACTCTACCACAGGAGAAGTTCCATCCTTCCCCCTTTAGGGGTGGATCAGGATGTAAGAAGAGAATGTAGGATGAAGGACCTCTTGATATTATTACCTCTTCAGCTCCAGATTATTCCCAGGAAAGCCAGTCTCATGCCTGTGGTGCAGGGATTACTCAGTGGGTCAGAAGGCCCCTTGGTGCAGGGCACACAGAGCCCCAACTCAGCAGTTGTTAAGCTGAGCCCCACATCCTTCCCCAGCTTGGGGCTCCGAATTCTGTGCTTTTCCAAGAAAGAGCGAACACACAGCCCCTCAGCACAGCACCTGCCAACAGCCCATCCCACCATGTCCCCTCAGTCAGAGCAGACAAACACCTGCCCACTGTAGGCCCATGGAGGCAAGGGAGGTGCCATGACCTGACACTTACAATGTCCCAGAGGAAGTTGGTCAGCCAGTAGGTGGTGGGACTCACTCCACTGACAAACTGGAGGTGCTTGGCTTTGTTTACCCTCTCCTGGATCAAATAAAGGACAAAGCTGGCTGGGACGAAGGACATGGCGAAAATCACACATATGGAAACCAAAGCATCCACTGAAGTGGTCAGCCTGCAGCAGTAGGAGAGACATAGTGAAAGAGAGGTGAAGAAGGAGGAGCAGAAGCAGGAGAAGGACAAAGGCAGGCTCTGGGAAGGCCTCACCCAACTCCAGGTAATGGCCTCCAGAATCCCCTGGAAGCTTGTTGTTTCACTCAGCTGTGCTAGTCAAACTGGGTCAAGGTTAAGTGGATATCTGTGGGTTTCCTGTTCCATGTTACTACCGAATACTAATATTAATGTTAATATCAAACATTTTCCATGTTTTTTTTTTTTTTT